CCAAGGTTTACTCCGATGTGCGCATTAAAATGGCCCATCAGTATGAGGAACTCTGTATTCGGCCCTTCGGACAGAGCATACTCCACTTCCTCAAGGAAGGTCTCATATTCTCCTTCCAAATTAGGCGCATAGACCTGTAACAAGGTCATTGATTTAGCCTGTTGTAGCTTCAGTCGGAGGATTACCACCCTTCCGCTGATAGGTTTCCAATCGGTTATTCTATCGGCAAAGTTGGGTTTTACCAGAACACCAACACCGGCCTATGCGCGATTCGTGATATCGACATCTGAATAGAATAGCTTCAACCCGGTGAGGTTCAGGAGTCCAGAGCCTTGGCGCTTCGTTGACGAGAATCCAACATGTTGAGTTGGTACTTTATAGCCTCCAACTAACTCTTGTTCTTTCCTTCTGAGTGAGGATATGCTCCAATTTCCGACTTTAAACTCCCACTGGTGGTGTCGTTCTCGTGGGCCCTTTTCTGACGTGCCGTAATGGCATCGTGATGTCTGCCTCCTCCGTTCAGAACGGGTAGCGACTCCGTTGCTGACTGGTGTCTTCGTCGTCGTTCCGTCGGTCTTCGTCATCCGTTGTTGGGCTGCTACGTCCCCGGCTGGCAGAAGGCAATGAGCAGGTTCTGATGTCCAATTTTTCGCAGCCTGCGTGGCCCTTGGTAAACCGGGCGCTGACCGAAGCGGTATAACGCTTTATAATGGCAATACCGTGAGTGACAGATGGCTAATTTTTACGGGTAACCCCGCCCCAGTTCCCATCCCTCCGCGTTTGAAACTGCAATTTAAATGTAAGAAATGAAAACCTTTAATTGCTATGCCGATATTTCGACCAAGTGGACACAGGGCATTGTTGGATAATGGAATGCATTCAATTTTTTTCGTTTATTACCAAACATAGTACAGATTCTTCTGACCTGTCCTACAATGCGATAATATATGCATATGACAATACAATATGATTTAAGACTACCGTTCCGTTTTTAATTGACCATTTCTGGGTTTATGGACAGCCATCGTGGCTAACTGTCGTCTCATTTGTGAAAAATGTATGCTACCACGCTACCATATCGAAGTCCGAATTAATTTTATTCCGGCACTTCATGACTTATCACAATGAGGTTGTTTTTTGCGTTAAGCATTTTTCAGAATGTTCATTATTAAGCTGTGAATAAAACTGTACTTCGAACATATATTTAGGAAGCAAGAACTGTAGTGAAGAAGTCTGCATCAGTGTCGACGACGAAGGAGTCAGCATTAGAAAGCAGAGCAGTAATGGTAGGTAGTGATCACGAAAAAGCTGATCTGGTGGCGATTTATGTCGAAACACCTCAAGCTGTTGACTGCATCGTCGATAAACACATAGGTAAAATGGCCGTCGGTGTAAGCCTGGTAGGCAAAATGAAAACCGACCTCGAGCGCCATTGCATACAGATGTGCTGGAAACTGCGCTCGCTGGGATGTTACTCGATCAACTATCACCCACGGTCGTCGTCTTGCAGTTTTCTAAAATTTTACACCCCAAATCCTGCCGTAAATGAACATATTGAAATGCACCCCGGATACTTCTTTATCGCGGTTTTAAACTGCTCTGGTAATGACACGGCCAATTAATTATTTGCGTAAATATAGACAATTTTCTTTCAGGAGCCCCTGTGGTCACAACAACGACGCCGGTCATTCCTCCACCATATTCGCCCGTTAATCCCCTAAATCCTGCGTGTGGAATTCCTAAAGTTCAACCGCACATGAAAAACAATGACATTTTAAAAGGCAAGTTCCGCATTGTAAATGGAACTGAAGCCATACCACACTCTTTGCCGTGGCAGGTAGCTGTAAAGCGCACAGGAAGCTATATCTGCACCGGTGTGCTGGTCGACGCGGTGACGGTAATTACGGCAGCGCACTGCGTTTCGATAGACATCGGTGAGAAAAAGTAAGCCTTGGTAGTTTAGATAGAGATTATTAACAACGCCACAATGTGCCAATGAAACAACGTGCTAAAATACAGTGTGATTCAAAGCATATTATCCTTTATTGAGAGACGGATGATAGGATGAGCTGCTTCCATTTCGTTTCATTGCCTGATACCATCATTTGAGTGCTCCTTCAGCTTTACATCTCAGTGTGTTGAACAAAAACAAAAAACACGACATTGTAGCAAATTTTATGACTTCCATGCAGATAATCGGAACATGCTAATCTTCTGCCTTTGGTCACCTCTGATATGTCTGTGAGGTCCGTTAACAAGAGAACATGGCTTTTCTTGATGCAAACGCATCACTCACAACATGCGTTGTAATCGGGGCTGTTGAAACTGCTCAGCCAGCATTCATGCGTATTAGCAAAAGCAGTCGTTGCTAGTCGGTGCTGTAACGGTGGCCTGATTGCAGTCAGATGAAGACAGATCTTGACCGTAAATGTCGTTCTTGCTCCAGTCGAAATTTTTGAAAGACCGCTGAAACCGTGTTTCTTCAGCTTAAGTCCTTAAGGCAGTAGCAATTGCTCTAATTGATGAATTTTTTAATTGCGAGACTGCTGTTTCCATAGCACACTGTCGTTCCCACTGCTCTGATATGGCGCTTTTATGAGCTTCGTCTTCGAGAGGTTCAACTGAAGGTCCACTTTCGCGCAGTTTAACGTAACTGCTCAAATGGCGGGCGAAAGCCAACGCTACGATAGCGCAGCAAAAGGATGTCACCCACAGTCTCTAAGTTAACGAAAGTACTTTGCCCTATAGCTTTAGCTTTTTTTCCAACATAAGACGTTTCTCGTAATGCCAAAATCAAGATGTTCGAGGAGGAAGGAAAGGAAAGGCTATAACCGTAAAAACGTCGGTGTTCCTTACACTTTCATGATGGAAACATTTCTGGCGCCTTTCTTTTCATGAGTTAATGGTGGGGCGTTAATCTCCATTTCCATGGCATCAGCCAGGAGTGCCATATTTTAAAGGACGAGGGCATAGTTGCTATGTGGCAAGCATGGTATGCAGTCTCCTATTACTTTCCCACAGAATGGCACCGATTTGTCGGTCTAAGATTAAGAATGGCGAATGACCCAACTGGCGCATGAATCCATGACATTTCGGTTCTGAGAGTTTATCGACTGAGCAACTCTTGCTTGAAGCACGCGTGGTAAATTTGTTGCCCAAAGGAATTCATGGTTAAGAGAGAGATTTCCCTTCTGCGAAATCGAATCCGGCACCTCCGGAGCTCGAAGTAATTCTTTTAGTTACGGAGTCACCACGCGATATTAGGGGAGTGCAATGGCACAATGATTCTTGAGTTTTGCACTTCAGAGGTACCACGTTGAAGCATGCATGCCGAAATTTTTGTCTTATTAATTGCTAATTCCCTTGAGTGTGAAATTTATAAGTAAACACTAAAGGTCTTCCTTAAGTTGAAGCCATTCAGCTTGCAGCTTTCGATGATCAATGTAATGGCTTCGTCGCCCACATCATGTTCATAAACGTGATGATTCCATTCGCGAGATTAACTAACTTTCAATATATCAAGTTGGAAGCATTCGAAGTAGTCTAGAAGCTGTATCGTGTCATCCGTACTTATGAATAATCAAGACCGCTAGATCAGAATTGTGCAGATGTCAAAGTATATCGGCAGACGCATGCAGGCCAACAGTTGCTTGTTTTGACAGCAAAGAAACTGCAAACTACAATGATCTGACACAATCGAGGCATTGACTTGAGTGGTTTCCGCTTCGACACAGCTTCTTCCTCTTCGTCTTTTGCCGAATTTTGTCCTCTAACAGGATTTCTAAACAACACTGTAAAGCATATCCTAAATAGAGGTAAATGGTAAACTAGAGGTATGGGGTGCAGCAAACAAATGCACAATGGAAACTGCCGTAAAACAAAGGTCTGACAGCAGAAGCGAAATGCCACCGTAAGAATCTTCAGGGTTATAATTGCGGATCTCTTGGCCAGAAATTATTTATAAACGGCGTTCATTTTTAATTGCACAACACTTCGTTCAGCCCGTGCTGATGAAACGACCACTCGACCTAAGCGTAGGTTAAGCAATAGCGAGTTGCTAACTGCAATTTATGTTTAGCCTAGCGGATTGACATTGCGCACCGGGTAAACGAACCACAATTTTAAACTTAATTTATTAAGGGGCCAAAAGCTGTTTCAAAACGATGCCTACTATGTTAGCTAAAGTTGCCAGATAGTAGAACTAATAAATTAAACCACCAGATCCGCATTTCAAAGCAAAGTTTCCATTAACGATTATCTATGGCATTCGTACTAATGACATTCGATTAATTGAACTGTAATTGTGTCGTGACTTTTCCAGGCACGTGATCCCAATTGATGCGAAGGAGTTTAGCGTTGAGTTGGGTGTTCATAGTTTTAAAACAAACGCAGGAGTGCAACGAAGAGGACTTAAAGCCTTAAGAGTGTACGAAGAATTTGATTTTGAAGAATCAGTTGGCGATATGGCGATACTTCATCTGAGCAGTCCAATCATCTTTACGAACGACGTGATGCCCGTATGCCTTCCAAAAGACAAGCAAGACGTTTTTGTAGGTGAGAAATGCATTGTCGCTGGATGGGGACTGGATTCAGGTAGCAAATGCATTTTCGAAATAATTTTTGCACAGATAATTCAGAATACGGAAAAAAGTCAGACGTACTGATGCAGTTGGTCGTGCCCGTACTTGACCCTAAACTGTGTACGAGCAAGGACAGCTATGGCAAAGAAGTAAAGCCTGAATATATGATTTGTGCCGGCTACATGGAAGGTTACCGGGATTCATGCCAGGTTAGTGCAAAAAAGTGCTGGCGCTAATGTTATCGAGTTGTGCTTGTCCAAGTAAACAGTGAGACTGTGAGTTTCGCCAGGGCAGTAATTATTGCCAATGCACAAGTTCCATCTCTACGGAAGAACCAATTTGCCTCCTACGAACTTCATATAGGACTTTCATAATATCCGGGAGTTTCATCCGGTGCGACACAACATCTCAAACCTTTCTCCACGACAGAGGATTCTGATCGTTAGATGCTATTTCTAGGGATGATTACAGTCAATTAGTCAATTTAGATGACCGTTTATCCTTTCGGGTCGAGAATGCAGACGAGTCAGATAATGACTCCAACATTCCTGATCCTTTGCGGATCCATGACCATCAGGAGAAGATGGCCAGAGCCTTCAGTGAACTGTGTCGAAGAACTTGCCCATATCATTCTAGGTCGTCACTTAAGACTTCGGCTAGCCGGTTGCGCGAATAGGCGCTGCTTCGCCTATCTTTCTGAACGCATTCGCAATACCGGCATAGACCATTACATCTGTCACTTCATAGTCTGTGCACCAAGATTCTCTCAGATATCAGAACTACTGACTATGACTACTGACCATGTCTAGAGCGATTCTTCTCAGTGAACCCATTTCAGCCGCTTATACCCGGAATGAAAGTTTTTCATTGTCAACATAGGGATGAAAATCAACTTGTACACCGAGAGCTGTGCCATACTCACAATGGTTCTAGTTATTTCGCGCAGAACGCCACTGGATGCTAGAATTCGCCAGTCGATCTCTTCCTCCAATTTTCCATCACTGGAAAATACAATTCCGAGGTATTTGAACTTCTCCACATGCTCCACTGCACCTCCGTTTATCTGAAGAGTACAACGGACAGAAGAACGAAACAGCACCGGGTTTTTCGATATAAACACGTTCACACGCATACCCGCCATCTCGCTATCGGCTGCAAACCAATCCAGAGCGCAGTGGAGGTCAGTCTCGGACGATGCCATAAAAACAAGGCCGTTTGCAGATTGCCAACTTATCGCCTCTGCATCCCCTATCCTAATAAATTCCGTTCCCCGGCTGCGCCTGACTATTCTATTCATATATGAGAGAAACCGGAGAGGAGATAAAATACAGCCTTGGCGAGGATCAAGCTAACATGAAAGGTGTCAACTTTGTCGACGCCATTTACTCTGAGGCAGCACCTGCTGTCAGCACGTCAGCTACCGTAAGTGATTGGTTGACCGGTAGCTAGTGGTGACCTATCCCACATGTTCGCAGGCACGCATGACCACATTTTCTCCAGGTTAAAACAAAACATGCAAACTGCATGAGTGAACTACCGTGACATTTCATTAATCTGACATAAAGCAAAGATCTGGTCAGAGGTGCTTTGGCCTAACCAAAAACTACACTGCTCTTCGTGTATCTGAGAGTAAGTTATTGCACGGTACCTCCTTTTAAACACCTTTAAGTAAACTTTTCCGGGAGGCTCAATAAAGCAATGCACCAAAAACTGCAGCACTTCCTGTAGTATCCCTTCTTGAATTGGAGCACTGAAATCCCCGTTTTCAGTTCAGTTGTGTGTTTCCCGTAGCCATCGCAGTTTGACAGACACGTGTAGTTGTGAACATGCCTTATTAGCCCAATGCTTTGAGCATTTCAAGACGGATTTCATCAATTCCAGCAGCTTCCCCAATTCTAAAGCTTTTCACAGCCTGTATGATTTCATCTACAGAAACGGTAATATCCGTTTCCTGTAGCTCTTCAAGCAAGTCTTCCTGCAGTTGCTCAGGGTTAATGAGTTCCTCAGACATCTCTCTCCACTGTCGAAAAATATCCTCTTCCTTGGTAAAAGGTTGGTTCAGAGTCATTCTTCAGAAATTGCCCTTCTTTTCACCTCAGAGTCAGCGATAGCCTACCAGAATACCTTGTTTGCCGTCTAAAATTCACCAAGAAATCAGCTTTGGCTTTTGCCGCTGCTTTCGCTGTCGTCTGGAATGTTTCGACCTACGGCATACGAGATGCAGACTCTTTCCTTTCAAGCCATTTCTTCGGTGCATCCTTCTTCTCTGTAACTGCCAATTGTAACCCTCGTGTCCACCAGAACGTTGTTTTCTGACGTCCAGGCAGCAGACCAACCTTTTTGAATCCGCAGCATTCGGCGGCAGCCCAAACATGCCCCTTTTGAACAGCCTGCACTCGATTTCTAAATGAGCGGTCATCACCAAGATCATTTCAAACCGCCATGCGATGTTATTTGCAAGTTGCACTCGCGTATCAGCAGAAGAAAATGTCTCCAACTTGATTCTCAGGTTGCTTCTGCCACCAAATTTTCGTATGGTACTCCATTTCTTACAGCGCAGCGTGCCAACAACAAGGTGATGATCGGTAGATAACTCTGCGCCTCTCTTAACGCGAACATCCAGTACTGAGCGCCTTAAGTCAGACGATGCGATTATCAAATCGATCATTGACTTCTGTGCACGAGCTTCCCTGTTCCAGATACGCTGATGCACCCTTCGATGCTCGAAGAAAGTGTTCATAACGGACAGTCCATTGTTTGCGTACAGCCACAACAGGTTCATGCCATTATTGCTGAGGTCGCTAGGGTCGTTCCTTCCAATCACGCCTTCCACTTTTCAGTGTCTGCTCGGACACGCGCATTAAAATCATCCATTAGAATGAGGAACTCCGTAGTCAGCGCTTCATACAACGCACATTCCACTTGCACAAGGAAGGGTTTATATTCCCCCTACAAATTGAAAGCATTGACCTGCAAAAAGGTCAACGCTTTGGCCTGTTGTAGCTCCAGTCAGAGGATTGTCACTCTTCTCGCTGACAAGCTTCCATTTAATGGTTCTGTCAGTCCGCTTGAGTTCTACTAGAACACCAGCGTAGGCCTGAGTGCCTGCTATGATGTCGATACCTGAGTTGAATAGCTTCCACCCGCGGAGGTTCAGGATTCCAGAGCCTTGGCGTTTCGATGAAGAGAATCCAACAATGTCAAGTTGGTACCTCATGGCCGCATCAATTAACTCTTGCTCTTTCCTTCTGAGTGAGGATATACTCCAATTTCTGAATGTAAGCTTCCACTGGCGATGTCGTCTCTTATGGAGCCTTTTCTGACGTGCTATGATGGCATCGCGATGTCTGCCTCCTCCATTCAGAAAGGGTAGCGACTCGGTTGTTGATGCGCATATTCGTTGTCATTTCGTCGAAGTTGGTCATTCGTTGTTGTGCTACTACACCCCTGGCTGTCAGTCGACTTTGAGCAGGTTTTGATCGCAGACTTTACGCAGCCTGCCTCAGTCTCTGAACAGCATTCGCGGCTCGTGGTAACTCCAATAATCACTCAGCCGGTATAATGTTCGATGTTGAAAATACTGTAAGTAGCAGGTGGCTAAGTTTTACGTAAGCTTCGTCACGGTCTCCAACTTTCTATCTTTTTCGCCGGAGCTTTAGACCGGCAACGGCGGAGTTTTAATTCATCGTTCTCTCTTCAGTGTATGTTTCAGGTTTTTTATGCCTTGTTACATGCCAGTTATTGTAATTGAATCATTTAAAGAAGGCTATGATATCAACCGTGGCTTTGCTGGGCACTACTAATCCAGAAACGAGTATCCGTAATTTATGGACTGAATTCAGTGTAGATAATAACTGCTTCACTGCAGCTAGATTGCTTGACTACTTTTGGAAGTAGTTCTCAAATTTAGGTTGTTTTATGTTTCATAGTGAATGAAAATTTAAAGTTTAATTGCCCTACGAGAAGTCTTGAACAAGTTCTTATGATGAAAACAGATTAAGGAGAAGATTTTTAAAAGCCTGATTTTCCACGCTTCTAACAGTCTTTTTCCTTTCTCGTGACGATGCAGAGCGTCGTAGGTCAGAGGATACGATTATCTAATCAGTCATCGACTTCTGTACACAAACTTCACTATGTCAGGTATTGCGCCCTTCGATGCACGATGCGATACGCTTCGATGCTCGAAGGTATTCATAACAGAGAGTCGGTTGTTTGGACAAAACCACAACAACTTCATGCCTTTATTGTTGAGGTGGTTAGGGCCGTTCTTTCCAATCACGTTTTTCCATCGTTCTGTGTCGGTTCCGGCATGCGCACTGAAACTGCCCATCAGAATGAGGGACTCCGTAGTCGGCATTTCGTACAGAGCAACTTCCACTTCCTCAAGGAAGGAC